AACGAATTATTTATCAAATATTAAGCAAATTTAAAAATCAACCCAATTACTAACACAAATATTTCCAACTATAAATAATACACTTTTATTCTTGTAAGTTATTTGCTCTTCAACTAACTGGAATCATTCATAACAACAAGTGAAAACATACAGAAGAATCTAAAGTTAATAAATCAGTAAATAAATGAAATGAATTATAAAAGTAATAGGACAATGGAATAAGTGAATTTCTATCCATTATTGTTGTTCTTATAATAATAATAATAATAATCAATTTTATGTTGTTTTTCCCGAAATTATTACTATTCGTTTTTGACAGTATGAAATTTTATTAATAATTTTTACAGGAATTTATGATATTTTATGTAGAAAAGCGATTAACAACACTATACAAATTCTGCCTACTGATATTATCTTGTCTGTCTTTTTTCGAATGTATATTATTGTACTACTACTACTACTACTACTACTACTACTACTACTACTACTACTACTACTACTACTACTACTACTACTACTGATACTACTAAAATTGCTACCATCTATACACGTGTCCGTATGTCAGTGAGTGTGGATGTGCCCACATCTGCACATAATAGTTTGTCACTACGGTAATAAAAATTATCACCTGTTAACCAACTAGAAGAGGTGCAATAAAAAAAAGTGTTAATAGTTAGGATAGGTAGAAATAAAACAGATTTCAAGTTGATTTGTGTTTAAAATACTGTTTCATTAGTCATTTTAAAAAAATAAAACATTTCTTCTCAAATCAAAACGTATCACTTTAATTCATTATATCATTGAGTTCTAACAAAAGTTTGCGAAATGGAATTGGTATCACGATTTGAAAAGAAAATGGGTGAATTAGTCACAGAAATAGAAGTCAATTGTAAAACTTAAAAATTATCTACTAGAATGTGCAAGAATAGGACGTAGGTTTTCTAAACTCATTGTGGAAATTTGAAAATTAAAAATGAAAGCGGCTGATTTTATATATGATTTACAACAGCATCACCTATGTGCCCGATTGTGGTATATTTACTAATTATAAAGTATTCACCTGTAAAGACGACATTGTACAACAATCCACTAAGTAATTGATTAGCTTTCGTTCCTCCCTAAACTATCAAACAATTTCAGGAAATAACTATTAAAATAACCCAGTTCATAATTGCTTGACGGAAGTAAGTCCATAGTGCTAGGACAAAAATGCCGTATTCTCTGATAGTGCTTTCCAATATTACGAAAATTGTAATTTAACCTGAAATTATCTAACTTGCAGCTATATAACTAACAGAATTTGGATGTTTAATTTTCCAAATTTGCAGGCTCATGATCGACGCTCTTCCTGGACTCCCGAATAATATACTTTCTAAAAGATTAAATCCTCATTCAGAATATAGTGTAATTAAACCGCATATTTACAACCCACTTCAATCACTTATTCTTAATCTCATCCTATTTAGCGTCATATGCCACCGATTTATTATCAAAAATTGAACTATAATTCCATTAAGGAAATTAACTTAACAATACAACAGTTAAAAAGCTAATGACAGAACAATTAATTGATTGTCCATGTTTTTGTACAAGTTATACCAGTTTGAGGCGTATGAAAAAAACCAACTATATCCAAAGAAAAAGTTTTCCTTTCAATAATAAAAGTTGATAGTCAAACTCTGTTCGATCCCTCACTGTATAATAATGATCTATGAATTTGTGTGTATTTGATTATTAAACAAAAAAAGTATAACCAGAAGGCTTAATGTATTTTTAGTCTGTAAATTATTTACTTCCATGATAAATTCATAAAACCCTTAATGAAGCATAATAATATACGCATATTCTTCTTCTTCTTCTTCACCACCCCCCGTAAATTAGTCTAGGCAAACATGCATCTACATACATACCCCTCTGTTACTCATAACCATCAAAGAACAAGTGGTTAACAAGACTAATCAAAATGTATAACACTAACACTACATATAAATATGCATATATATCATACATGTATTTGAATATTGTTAGTAGAAAAGCAAACAAATAACTAAACATGAAGGTAATATTTTTTGACACGAGAAAAGTCTGTGCGCAAACTGTCTATTCGAACAGCTGTTGAATAAATATCAAATTTTCAGCAAAATAAAAGAGAGAAAGAGGAATGATTTTACTTCGATATGAAATAGTAATTAATAATATTATTTTTGCTATGATTATCATTATTAACAGAATTGTTAGTAGTGGGGAATGATCACTATGTCTATAAGTTTAATATTATCTTATATTAGCGGACCAAGTGAATCTATTCTTACCGATATATATATATATATATATATATATATATATATATATCTGAACACCAGACACTTAAATAAACAGTGACTGCATTTCTTTTTTTATTCTACATATGTATACTTTACCCAATGGTCTATAATCGTACATAATTTTGTGCCATATGCTGAGTATATCAAAGACCAAGAGAAACTATTAAAGAGAAAGAAAGAAAGAATGCAAAAACGGGAGCGAAACTGACAATCCTCTCGAGAATCTCGTTTTATTAGTTAGTTGCCTTCTGTCTCTTTCGGCTAATTTCTCCTCTATTATTTATTATCGTTTCGTATAATCAAATAAATACAACATCTAGAATCAAACACAAAAGACAAGAATTTTTAACTTCAGAATAACTACTCAATTTTGCTTTTCCTGATGTTACTGACGATGATAATCTGAATGAGTCAAAATAACTATTGCTCATTTTGAGAAAAGTTAACGGTAGACAAGACAAACGGATCATCTGTATTTGCTTTTTTCATCCAGTATACATTTTGCACGGTAACACGAATAGACTTTTTCTCATAAATCCGCTTTTTATATTCAAATAAATACATAATTAATTTTTTCCAGTTGTCTAGTTAATAAAGTCAAAGCAAATGAATATTAATCCAATAGTTTACAATGTGAATTTAACTGTTAAGTTAATCAAATGCATTTGTTTTAATGAGAAAGTTGGAATTCAGAGATTATAAATTATGCTCTATTTGATGTCAATAATCACAATAAAATAAGAAAGATACAATTGTATGACCATTGGCATGGCTCTTGACATAATAACATAAAAACTCACATTCATATTCATAATATACTTTGTCGGTGGTAGATTAAATTCTGAATACTAATTTTTACTTAATAGCTCAGTTTTAAGTGGTACATAGAAGTCAAATTGATCAAGAATAAATAAATATTAGTTTACGGATGATCTGAAAGTATTCTTTCTTTGAGTCAGCTCTTTGTTACTTTTTTTAAAAATAGACTAATTAATTTGTTAAGATAAATAAATAAAAGTTTACTGGAAAAAACAAGTTAATGACTTTTAAAACGATAATACTCATTCACTCACAATTGATTGATCACTGGGTGGTGATCAATATAATGTGTGTCAAGTACTTATTAGTGCAGATTGAATGCTATCGATCATGTTGCAATGTGGCCACCAGTCTAGGTGACTCGACACTGCGTGCACTATATATTGAGATCAGATGGTGGTTGGAGGTAGTCAACAGGGAACCCGGGATCCGGGTTTCGTGCTACTTGGCACCCGTCAGCATGGTGTACCTGTAATCTTGAGGGAACTGGTGCCCAGATGCCCCAGTGGTAACGTCTCTGACTGTGAAGCTGGGTGACACGAGATCGAATCCGCCAGGGAACACCAGTTCCCTCAAGATTACAGGTACACCTTGCTGATGAGTGCCAAGTAGCACGAAACCCGGATCCCGGGTTTCCTGTTGACTACCACCAACCACTATCTAATACCCATTCACTTTCAGAACGATCAATAGGCTCATAATCATCGAAGGAATACTGCTTATGTAAAATCTATTACGTCTGTCTAAAATCATCAAAGAATATTCGTCTGAACTCTCACATCAATACATCTTTGGGAAAGTTAATTTGATGTCACAGTTCAGTTTCAAGCTAAAAACCTCGTTATTTCGAATGTTTATCAAGTTGAGTCATATGTGTTTATTTGGAGACCATAATAGCACTGAGTAAAGATCAATTACTGATAATGTTTGCCTAGTCTTTATACATATAAAAAGCAAGTGACAAATCAAGGACATTATTCATTTTTGTTCCGTAAGTAATAACATTAAAGAATAAGTAAATAATTCGATAACCAAAGCTTCTGTATTGGTACTAAATACAATATATTTCCGACTAGTCTTCTCTCATTTAATCTAGAGGAAACACGTTAACATAAGCCCAAACTAGTTTGTTCTATAGAATAATTAATAAAAGATTATCAAGCGTTTCTTCATATGTTTCGCCCAAAAGACTTTTCAATAAATCTATGGGACACCATGAAGAAAGAACTAGGAAAAAGACCCTGCTTCATGAGTCAATTAACTTGAGTGACAAAAGAATAATAATAAAACATTTAAACGTTAATTATGAATAAAATTAGTCTGTCAGTTAACAGACAGTATAAAACAGTCAAGTTTATCATATATGATTTGAGTACTACATGTTACCTTTATTTAGTTTAAAACTTATTGAGATTACTTAACCAGGGAGCTAATGTGGTAAAATACTCAATATAATGTTACCTATTCACTTTGCAACCAGGCTCCTACTAAAATCGTCAAAACTCGTTTAACAGTTTGGTTCCTCATCTTTTGGCAGAACAATCAAAAGTTTGTTTCTCAATATGATAACGGCAAGTTTTTTCAGTTACTGTAATAGTTCACATGAAATAAAACCTATTGGGTAACTAATCATTTCATAAGTTTTACGCTACAACCGAACATTATTCCTCAGAATATTTTCTAAATTCAACCAAATTAACAACAAGAATACAAAATATGGATATAAAATTGAAGTAGTCAAATTAATCCAGCTTATGGAAATGTTATTTTGATGAAAAATCATATCGAAATAATTCGAAAACTCTTATGAAAAGATAAAAATCGAAAATTTTCCAAGTAATATAAACTCAAACTTACAATATTTACTTCTTGGTACACGTGGCCCATCCACTGTCACTTTGATTGCTCTGGCATAAAGAGCTACAATTGGTGGTGTGGTTTCAATGGTGATGGTTATATTGAAAGATTTACCTGTAAAAAGGAATAAAAGTGTTATCGAGAATTTATGTATATGTACATATATATTTGTTTAAGCTGGGAAGATTATGCAGTTTTAAGGATTTTTTAAAAATCTACTACTATAGTTTGAGTTTATGACCACTCATTGTAGATTTATGTAGTTGTATACTAGCTCATTATACAGAAGTCTGCATATTGCCTCGAATTGTTTGTTACTAACTTTGCTAAAATTTGTAGAATATACCAGAAGATTTTGGAGCACTTTTTTGTTTGTTTTTTCTCCCTAGTGAATCTAAAAATCTAGTACCCAATACTTTGCTTACTTGTACGTTGTAAAATGGGCAAATAAATTACTCTATTCACTATCTGTTGACTGACTAATAATAACTATTAGTATTTTGACTTTATTTCCATTATCTATAGAATTGAATCTCTTATACTCTTAATCCAAGATTCTTGAATTTCTAATAATAATATTGAATAGTACAGTGGAGACTGTAGATATGTAACTGATGTTTTTATCGAACTCAAAATGATACCAGATTTGAATATATTCAGAAGAACTTTGAAAGCTGCTTTTTAAAAAAATGAATTATTTTGCTACATTCAACTGCTCTATCAAATTTGTTTAAACAAGTTGTGTTGTATAGATAGCAAAGACTAAGTCAAGTTTTTTTTCATTATTCTTCACGATAAGGCATATCAGATGTTACTCTACTAAATAAATTACATTCTCTATTATAAACTAGTTGACTGTGAAATATCCATTCATGATCTCATGCTTTAGTGAATTAGTAAAATGTTTTAGTTTGATGTAAAAAAAAGAAACAATTATTCCCTGAATGATCTTTAAGTTTAATTAAAGTATACAGTAATTTGTTTGAACAACTCAAAGGTCAGACTATTTACCAAGAATTCGGTAAAAAATGGAATTGTTAAATAATTTTAAGTTGTTGTTCATTGAGATGAAACACTACTTTCTGAATAAAATTAGTTGTTCCATGGAAATCAACTTGTGTATAATAAGAACAGCATTAGTTAATTTATTGGTAGAGTATCATGATGACATGACTGATTAGTCGTAAAGTATACCGATCCTTTATACTTACATTTTATTATTATATCAAAATGTAAATTTCTTGTTAGAAATAAAGAATTATCACATTGAACACAGTCACCACCTAACTGTGGTAGCTACAGCTTTTTGATAACATATGTGTTCAATTTGTTTTCCTCTTACCTGGAATGACCTATTCGTAATTAACTAGCGTATTCATTGTTTCACTTTTATTTAGTTACAAATTCCGCTAATAAATTTATAATTACTGACAGAAAATCTGACAGACTATCTCCCTAGTTAGCGATAATCATATGTGAGATAATTAAAAAATAAGCAAGTGTATTATAGTTGACTTGTCAAAATACAATGATACGTCATCTACTCTAGTCACGTGTATCTGCATACTACATTGTCTTTTATATTTAAATGAGTTCAGGTCATCTATGGACAATTTAATATCATATGGAACCCCTGTTTTATTTCCCATTTATCTTATTCTAAGTAGATAAATGCCATTAATTTGCGATAGAATAAACCATGAATTTCGGACTGTTTTTTTTAAAATATAAACTAAAAAAAGTATACAGAACGTAGAACCAACATATTCCTTTGGTCTAATTACTTTTTAACTGTCTATTTCTTTTTGCATTAGTTAAATAAACTCATTATCGTTTTCTCCTATTCACGGATGAAATATATTTTTTAAAAAAAAGAACTCAGAAACTTCAGGGTAAAAGTAAAAAAAGCACTTAGGATAATGTCAACTACCCTAATAGATTTAATGCAAGCGAACAGACAAATGAGCAGTTAATTTATTTTCACTACTATTTTCATTGTTCACTTTAGAAAAAAAAAGATTATGTTAGTTAAGGGAAGAAATGTATGAAATATCAGGATTAACACTATTAATTTATATCGCTGTTTTTCCCTCTATCTGTAAACGAAATAACCAAAAACTAATTAGACCAACAAAATAATAATAATAATGAACAGACTAAACACTTGCTTAGTTCACTTATCGAATGGCGACACGTGTCCATATCATTGATACAGACTATTAGTTTAAATAGATTGAAACTTATATTGTATATCCATACAAAGTCCACACATTCACCTGGACACAAATGAACATATAAGCTGATAATTTGTTGTTGTTGTTCTGTTTTTTTTGTATTTTATTGTCCAACTAACATTTTGATTGACAGCATCTTTTATTTAAAAAAATAATTAAATTTTGTTGGTTTCACTAGTTTATTATTAACACATAAGTCATAGTGATTGTTCCACTTTCATTAACTCATTCATTATTCTGTTTTTAAGTGTGTGAAAAAGTGTAATTCAACTGAATTTGCTTTTTTTCAAAAAAATTTTTCCTGTAGTGTTATATGGTCAGTGAACCACATGGTCTTTAAACACCAACTCAATGCCACACACACATATACTTACATTGTGAACTAGCAGATGAAATCAATTAGAACAAACGTAATTGAGATAATAAACAGCTTGCTTATCATAACTTCTTTTTACATGTCATTTTTTTAAAACTAATTTCTGACAGGTTATAATAATTAGTAAAGTTATCTCCTGTCCTGTCATATTTTTTTTCGTTTATTGTTTAATGGTTACCAAGACTACATTATGAACATGTTCGTGATCTCATCTAATTTACAAATGAAATGAAATTGATAAGTTTCTTAACAGAATTAATGTTTACTTGAGTTTTGTGACTTTAATTAAGTTCTACAAATCCGATACAAGTAGAATGGAATAGAATAGAAATAAGACTATTCAGGTTAGAGATGAATGAGGATTGTTATTGTCTTATTTTGAAAAATGCATTCTAATAACTCAGCAATAATATCTTAATTCAATCCATAAGTTAGCATTATAGATAATAATTGACAAATACGTAGAGATAATTTGTAAATAGTATGGTCTCCATGATATGAGCAACTAACAGGAGGTTTCTGAATCGAGTGGAGTAGTCGTATAAACATTCACAAGATTCAATAATTATCTATTTAGTATTATCACTGTAATGGAAACCAACTTCATATTTATCAGAAGCAGTTAATTCAATATTCTGAAGGTATTTCTTTTCACTAATGTGCTAATTTCTGCCAGAATATTGGAAGATTTCTTATTATTCTGTTTTGTATAATTATTTGATCTAAAATATTTACCAGTCTTCTGCTCTTTGAATTTTGTGTATCATAGTAGGTATGCAATATTCATGAAGGTCGGAAGAAGTACGTTATTTAATTATTCCAAAAATTAGTTTCACTGAAGGCTAATACTTTAATTAATTCCTCTTGTTTAGTGATATAAGTCTCACAATATTTCCTTTTTTCAATCTCTATGGTCAAAATTTGAACTTCATGAGAAATAAAGCAACCATATACGAGAATAATAAACCCGATCATATTCATTTTGGCACCATATCAAACAATGAGATTAAATATGATACGTTGTTTCAATCATGCCTATTTAAACGTATAAAAGTTACGAGAAAACAGAAGTGATCTGAAAATTTTTCTCAGACCAACTCTGTCTTTTCATTGTTCCATTGAAATCTATAAAGGGAACCAATTGCTTTAAATAGAAAATTTAATTTTTGCGACATGTCCCGTGGGAACACTCTCAAATCTTCTTCCAAATGTGAGTAAAATTGAACAAACTAATTATTTTAAAGCACTGGTCAATGGATAAAACTTTAAAAAAGAGTTTTAAGTAAATGTCCTTATGAATTTGGGTTTCTCTAAAATTGTGTAAACAAAAACAGGCAAAAATATTTATCAGTACCTATTCAACTCATCTAGCTGTAAAATAGGATCGCATCAACATCCTGTTAATCAATTTTTGACTGAAACTGATGTTTGACTAATGTCCTAACGTTTTTAAAATAAATTTTAGTCGAGAAACTGAAATGTTCAAAGAAAATTCAGTAGAATAATATTCCCTTCCGTGTAGGATGAATACAAATTTTCAAGGAGTTTCAAGTGAATCATATTATTCCACAACATCACTGTTCTATTTCCTACTTCTTGTCTTTCTTGTAATTAGTAGATCATCGAATTAGATTCTGATAGCTGACTATCAAATCATATTACTGTGAAGTTTCACTCTTGGTTTTACCAATGTAGTAATTTCATTTGGATAAAGCAATGAATATAAAGTTGGAACTGAAGTGACCACTAAGGTTTCTTACCTGATTATGACAATATAATTTAAGTGGAATCTATCGATTACTTTGTTTTAATTAGAAAAAAGGAAGACGGAGACCAAAATGACTAGTGTGTTCACAGGTTAATAAATTAAGCTATGGCGAGCAAAGCTCATAAACTAAATCGTCATCACTTTTAGGAGCAACAGACAGAATATACTGCGGATCTCACAAATCCCTCTAATATACCGTTGATCGTAAAATAATCAAAAAACGATATACGGGAGTAACGTATAATAGTGACTGCCCAAGTAAGCGTTTCATAACTGTTTTATTCTGAATATTATCTACTGTTTTCAAAAAATGCCAATATATTTCTTTACTAAATAATAGATTATTTTTCACAAAATCTGCTATTTTCCTACCACAATTGACTTTCAGAGACCGCTTATAGAACACCCTCAGAAACGTGTCGAATTGGGAGCCAATGAATAAATTTCCCACAATCTAAATGTTTTAATTACCAGCGCTAAAACTAATGATTGGTTCATTTTAGAATATATTTTATGTGAAAGAGAGAAATTTCTACCCTGTTGTCGATTTCTGTTATGTAATAAGAAACTTTTCACTTCATTTTACTGGAAGAAGTAAATTATTACTCAAAAAACGTCATGTCATGTACTGAGAATAAGATATTCTCTATATAATGAAAGTTGTTTAAAGACATTACTCAAAATATGAATAGAGTTTCCACCACAAATATACTTGAGGCCTAAAAGTAACGTGTCG